GAACGTTCACCAAATTATTTTATCGGTATTGATGAATTATTGCTCGTCAAGGCATAATTTAAGTTGATGTTTTTATACGCAATTTTTTTGGCATTTTGTTGATCGGCTGCTAAGTACCAATTACCCGAATAAATGTGAAATAATTATGCTCTACCGTTGAGCCATCGACTGTAATCCATAAATCATTACAAGTGTAGGGCGCAGGACCGCAAGTTGCCTCCGGATCCGTATTGAGTAAGAGGTGGGGCACCAACGCAATAGGCACTTGATGTAACCGCACCGCAACCTTTCCGCTGACGCAATAACCAGCTGTTCCTACAGCACTGACGCTCCATCTAAACAGTGTCAGTCGTGCCGACGCGGAAATAATTAGAATACTTTACGTCACTCATTATGATTACTCTCCGAAATGCAATGTAAGTATAAAGATTACATTATCTGCGTTTACGTTTGTATGCTCCGGGTGGTCCCCTACTAATGGACCTCCCTGCATCGTACAATAACATGATGGACTTATTTGAGAGCAAATACATTATGAAGTTACAAGGCAATTCCCAAAATTTTTGCACGACAACAGCAAAATAGACCTTATGAGGTAAGGTACTGTTCTATTACATATTCTTAGGTAAGTAGGTGCTTCATTTACCTACTTGCGTGACTGAAGAGTAACCTGTGATTAAATAAGAATGGATGAAATGCCCAACAGGTTATGAGTGGTCATCATAGAGGTGATAAATATCACTTTAGGAACTCCACAATCCACAAACATGTAAGTACACATAAACTCATGCCTTTGTTGAATGTGGGTAGACATAAATTTCAGATAACCGAGAAAATAAATGGCGGTAACTATTGCTTTTTGTCATCTAATTATTTCTTCTGTTTTAGTGGGGTCCAGAACAGTTTTACATGTCCGTATCTCTAGTGAACTAACTTCATTGTTTTGGTAGTAGTCTTTGGTTTTGGTTTTCGTGGTTGGTCTCTAACTACTATAAAACCTGGCTTACGGGAGGTGCAGTGATCAAGGCAGTTGTGGCAGACTTGTGCCTATTATCAAAACTTTACAAAGCATTGATCTATCTATCTACTGCAACTATTTAACATTAGGTACGTGGTGAGTTAACTGGGCAGGAAAAACGAAGATCGAACAATTATTAACATTAAAATGAAAAAAATGTTTCATAATGAGTAACATTAGACTTGTAAAACTTGAAACTTGATGGAACCACTTCTTAATTTTTAGGATTTAGAACATGAAATCGCAGATAAACGGAATGGACTTAAATTGAATCATACTGAGATGCATTCTTCGGTACCTACCTTTTACAATTTTTATGTAATTCTGAATTCGCGTGCTGTTTGATCAGATAACATACATTCTTCAATAAATAAATACTCATGCATTAAAAATTGCTTTCGTCGACTGTATAATGCGTTAAAGGTTGTCGGACGGAACGAAAGGATTCCATGCATTTAAATTAGTTGGCTCTTCTGTATGTTACAATAGTTGAATAGACTTCGACGTTGTTATTACACCAATTTATATGAAGCAGTAACTATATTATTACAGTATAGCTGTTTTCCTCTTTAGAGATAGATATTAACCCTTAAAAGTCTAGTCTAGTTTAGCTAATAATAGTTCACCAGTCAAAAGATTATGAGTCTACAGACTAGGTACAGTAATGAGGTTCATATTCACAACTTGAGGAGCCAAGGTAATTGAGTCTTTAAAATTGTAACTAGGTAAATGCTACGAGCCCTGTTGAGGCTAAGCCAATCAAACTTTTTACGCATTGAGATTGAGAGACCAGAGAAATATTTATGCTGATAATTGGTAACTGATGAGATGTAAACATTTGTTTCAGAATTTCTTCAAACAGCAAAATAAAAAGCTCGTTAAAAACCCAAATGACTTTATGTAGGCACAGCTATTCTTTCTTTAGAACATTTATTACATGTTTAATATTTAAATCACTATCATTTCGAATTTAAAATGCTGATAGCATGTACCTTGATGTACCTACTCCGTAGCTATTTCTGATGCCTGCTATGTAACGTTGGTCATTATTTAAAAACAGAACACACCCGTTGACATAATCGCGCCTCCTTATTCGGCAAAAATACATTGTTTGGTGTGTCCGTGAACAATAGAGTTAACAGTAAAGCTGCTTCTTATTCCGCTCGGATACGGACACGAGGGGACCGCGTCGACCGGTTGGAGTCTGTAAATTCCGTACATTGTAATTCAGATTGAATGTCGAAACGCACGAGTCGGCATGCAACTATGCGGATGCTTCGCTTGCTCGAACTTTGACTTATACTTTGTCGACGACAAGTCGTTTTTAAAGTTAATTAAGTTTAATTTTATACCTCTACATACTTACCTACCTATCTGGTGGTGGTCTACCGAATGGTACCTACCTACCTACATTCCTAAAGTTGTCCAAATTGATCTATACCTATGTATAAAATACGTATTTTTTTTTTAAGGGGGGAAAATCATCGAATGACTGCTCCCGCCTGGGTGAGGCGGGAGGGAATGTCAGACTCTTACTGACTAAAAACCACCCCGTTCCTTCTCCTGCACGTCGAGCCGGAGCCCCGGTTACCCGTTAGGTTCATTAGTTATGACAAATGACCGCTTTGTTACCTTCCATAAATCTAATTAAAAATGTGTACTATGTAATATATACTGTGACCTAATGCGTCGTTTCTAGGAAGCAACGTAATTAGTATCTTCCGCGTCTCCACCCACTTTATTAATCAGTAAACGTCTCGCGGCCAATAAAAGTGCGGCATTTATAGACTGGCTGTATAAAACACATAAATCCAAGCCAAAAGAATGGCGTACCCTGTCCAACATCACAGAAACAGATTTCAAAGGAACGTCGTTTTTCATTGGGTCTATAAACTCAGGTGTTTATGGGGTTTGTCACTTTCGCATTTTTTTACCGACCCTTTTATACGAGGAAATATTTATAGCTGTATAACTAGGGCTAGAATTTTAGTCTCGGAATGACGAACGAAATTAGTTTTGTTAACAGTAACGTTTGTGTGTGTACACAAATAAGTAAGCACGTAAAAATGTTTGCACTTAAACAGGTGTGTTTCGTTAAATGTCGGCAATTCAAGCAATTGGAGATGTGAATAACTTGAAAAGGCTGCAACTTTTATTTTGCCAACACGTATCAAATATCTATTATTCTCAATCAAAACCATTCGTATCATGAATCGACAGATTTAGACACAAGTGCCGATTCTTCAGTTTTGCTTTGATAAAAAAACAAAACAGAATGCGTCTTAAACTCCTTTGTCATTCTACGCTTGCCGAACTTTTGTCAATGCTTTTGTGACGTGCCGCCCTACGACCGAACAAGTTCGTTTGTGACACAACATTTACTAAAGAACCGCTTTTTAACGTCGATTCCCAGTGGATCGAAAGTTTTTTTACAGTTTTGGATTAGGTGCGTCACGCATAAATAATATTCACGTGTCTTTTTTCTTGTAAACTATATTATTATATAAGTAACCGAAACAGCTCATAGATTTTACATTAAATTATGTAAAGTGATGTCCGCCCAATAGGTATACTTAATGAACAATGAAAAATTAGGAATATTTACCAAAAATAGATATTCCTTAAAGTAAACAATAATAAAATAAGTAGATTCGTATTGCGTATAGGTATGACCACTGCAAAATGAATGTTGACTAACATTATTGATATCATAAACTAAGTAGGTACCTACTACAAAACATTCGTAATAATTTTAAAGATTGTGAAATAAGTTTTTTGGATTGAAGTCACCCTAAGTTAATTGTTACCGACTTCAAAAAAAGGAGGAGGTACTATGTACGGCTAATGGTTTTCTTTTTGTTTGTTCGCGCAGTACTCCGCCTTGTGAACCGATTTCGAAAATTCTTATTTTGTTTGAAAGGGTATACTCCCGAGATGGTCCCATTTCCATGAGATCAGGATCTGATGACGGGATCCTAGGGAAACCGAGGGGAACTTTCGAAAATTCTATGGGCGAGTAATGCATCTATTATGGTTTTTAATTACGATATTTAAACAGTTATTTTTTGCTTTTTAGTTTTGACTTTTTGTTTGTTATTAGTTTTTGGTTTTTTGAAGTCAGTTTTTTAAACGCAGTTTTTATTTTATTAGTTTATCATTTTCAGTGTAAAGCTACATATACCCGTTTTGTTACTAATAATTTTATTTTATAGTTAGAGATACGTACTCTGGTAGGTTAAGATTACTGTATTATAATATTAATTGGTTAGATAATTATATAAAAATATAAAATGAAGTCTTTGGCGCAGTGGTTCGCACGAGATTGGCGTGATGGCTCGCACGAGGTTGGCATGGCAGGTGGCATGAGGTTGGCGTAGTACCTTGTCAACCAGTAACGTGTTATAGGTTACGGTGTTCGATTCCCACACGGAACAATTCTTTGTGTGACCCATAATTTGTAATTTCACGTCTAGGTATGATGTGTTGGTTAAATTGTATGTTTGTAAACGCTTGCTCTGCGAAAAATTGGGACCACATTTTTAAACGGTTTTATTTATAAAAAGAAACATAAGTGTAGTGTATACGGAGCAATCCTTTACTGTGTGGGAAGCCCTATACAACAGCAATATAGGATACGGGATGTATTGTTACTTATTGAATTATACGAATTAAAAATATATTAATATGAGATGAGAGCCTGAATGTTTTCTAACAGCAATAAGTATAGTTATGTAAACTGCGTACTAAATACTTGAAAAAAGGATAATTTAGGTATTTAAACTGGAGGTAAATGTTTCGTGGGTAGTTAATGGTTGTCCTTGTTGTTTGTATTGTACGGTACTAAGGCTCAAAAATCTGAAAATATATAGGTACGTATAATATTAGTTCATTATTTATAAATATTTTAGTTAAAATCTTGCAACATCTGTTCAACAACTACCAACATAACGACGTGAACAGATCATTAATGTCAAAAGTCAAAATCAACTGTCAAATTTAATTCAACACAAATGAATGAAGCTTTTACAGATTTTTGAAAATATTTTGTTAATAAATGTTTCAAAACTGGATTATACCAAAAGATCAAATGCAGGGCACTATCAAGGAATTGCTTGATGCATTAGGGTTGGTTATAAGTACAATTAATTTGAGTAATTTAGATACAAACAGTGGCTGAAGCAGGCGTTCGTAATTGACGATAATGGCTTTATATTGAATTTACAGATGTAGTTTGGAGGCGGAAACTGTTTTAGATTACATCCAGAATGATCCCAACTACGGCAACAGTAATTTATCGTCTAAGCAAGTGAACGAATACGCTCAGAGATTGGCGCTTAAAGCTTCGAACGCCAAGTTATTCTTGAAAAAATATGAAGAGTTAAGGAACAGAAAGTACGTATTGTTTATTGTTTTACTGTATAATGGTTGATTATTACTAAATAACTCTTTATGATGTGACTGGCAATTATTTATTAAAACAATGGTTCATGTAACAAGCAATTCTGGTAATTGATGCATATGGTTCAATATAGAAGGAAATTTTATGCAAGAAGATAATCAACAGCATAAACTATGCTCAAAATAGATACAATAGAAACTCACTAATAAGATCCTTATTTTGCCCTTCAAGAGTTAACCATTGAAACCAAACCAGCGTTATAATCCAACCAACAGAAAGTTTGATAATATTATGCTTCATTGAAAATGTAAACAGTGCATTACTTGTTTCAGTACTGATAATTTGGCTGACCTTATAGCACTATTTTATAAACTAGTGTGTGAAGAAAAAAAGTCAAAAATATCGAAACCAAAAGTGGCTCCGAAACCTATACTGGGTGATAACAAACATCAGATTACAAAAAATGATCTTCCACAGGTATTGTTTTTAATGTAATAAACCTGAAATTAATATAATTATACAGAAAACTAGCTGTTGCCACCTTCATCCACAGGACAAATCTTTTTTGTGTACATTTTCCGAAATAAAAGTAGTTTATGATGCTCCTCAAAACATCAGCTACCCTAACTGCCAATAAATTTCCGGTCAAAATCGGTCCAACCATTTCAGAGATTAGTCAGTACAAACAGACAGATAGAAAAAAATTATAAAAAGTTTATTTTGGTTTGTCATGTATATGTATGTGCATTTTATTTTGTGTTTTTGGGGAAAATTGCTTTATGTTTATCGTTGTCCAATTGGTGACTTGTTTGTCCGCGAGTCACTTAAGGGGCCAGTAGAATGCCAGCGTGAGGCCCTGTCTTGCACATGCTGAACTGGTCCCATTTCACCGCACACTTGGGACATTAGTAGATATATATAAACTATGTGTAAAATCTGTATGTGTCAGCTGTTTTAGCATGTGAAATAAAGTTTTTCTTTCTTTCTTTTCTTTCTTGTATTATGCATGTAGTAAAAAGCGGTTATTTTACTATTACAAACAGACTCCCCAATTTTATTTATCTGTATGGATTAGTAGCAGTTATTAAGTTTGTTTAAAAACAAAGTTTCAATTGGAGATTTGAAATTGATTCCTTTTTATCCTTTCTCTGCTGACATATGGAAATATACCTACTAGGCTGTTTATACCACTGTTAATAGTGATGTTAAGTTAATAATGTAATATACATAATAGATACTCACATGATTAGCAATAAACCATTTCTATATGAACAGACATTGTCCTAATGATTTGAATTTAAAAGAGCCTCAATTTAAGTCTGACTTGTAACTTTATTAACAGTATAGATATAACACCACTGTTACTATGGCAATGTACTTACCTCAGCTTGTTATTCACTTTCAAAATAAAAAGCAAAAAACATAGACATTATGATTTATTTAAGATGTGTTTAGCATGGCAAAAAGTGAATATTAATTTTGTCATAATAGAACCATTCCTTTTACTATCATTTTTATTTATTGAATGTAAAACATTGCTATTTTAATTCAATTTTTATTTATCTAGATCTTTCAATGAAAGCTTATGGTTAAGGCTTTGACTGCCAATAAAAAACTGTTGAAGGCAAATCCTCCGCTAATGTCGGTCACCGGTAGGGTTGCCACCCGTACTTTATAATAAAGTATTGTACGTTATTTAAGGTAATTGTACTCTATACTTTATAAGAATAATAAAGTACACAAAAATACTTTATTTTTGCAAACTTCATTTCTATTAAAGTCGTAAGTATTTTTCGGTAAACTTATCGATTCCATATCGATATTTATCGATTTATGTTGAATCGATTTCGCCACTCGCCAGCGCCATTTAGACAATTTCAAGTAAAGATGCAATTGTTTAGTAAAGATACTAATTTAATACAAACTGCAAAAAGCAATAAAAACATATTTTTAAATATAATACTAAATAAGAACAAATTGTACTTTATTTTTGTACTATGTACTTTTTTTTCTTACCTATAATCGTCAATGTACTTTAAATACCAAAATAAAAGGTGGCAACCCTAGTCACCGGTGACCCCCATGGCGTTGAATGTGTTAAATGTAATTTCAGATTAAAGACAAACTTCTAAAAGCAGTCGACGAAAGTAAGAAACTAGTCATGAAGTCCTTTGAAGAAAAAGAAACAAAGCTTAGACCAAACTGGTACAGCAGTCTGGACTTGCCCAGCTGGCAAAAGGATCACCCGGCCATGTCCTGGGACTTTCCAAAAGAGCCTATTTCAATCATATCTTCCCTTTGTAAGTTTCAATTTTTATTTAAAAAATATATGTATTTAGCATATTTACATTTCACACTGTTTTAAAATTGTGTTGTAGCTGGTGTGCCAATAGCATCTCAAGAAAATATAATCATTGATGATTTGCTGTATGTCTTCTCCGGTGTTCCTGGAAACTATATAGTCCATCTCCCAGTCAAAGACACCTTTGATCCTCGTACATTCCTAATATCCGATGATGTGGATGATGCACTGAAACAAATAGTTCAACAAATGCTTCCATTAGCTTCCAATTACTCTGTAGTGAGAAGGTTCATTGAAAACTGCGATATGTGGTCTGGCCAGGTGCTACATGCATTAGTAGCAGCTATTGAAATACTTCTGAAGGATTATTATGTAAGTAAAACAAATAAAGCCAGTCAGTGTTCAAAGTCATAAGTGTTATTTATACTCTTCATAAATCAATAACAACTCTATGTATTTTTCTATTTTTCAGACCATGATAGCTCAGCTGGAGACTGAGCACTTGTCTGCAAACCTCACATTACAAAAGTTGTGGTACTTTGTCTTGCCTACCATGCATACCATGCAAGTCCTTGCTGCCATCGTAACTAATATTGGAAAGGTTAGTATAACAATGCCACTGTGTTTTTATGAGTAGAATTTGCCATCAGTGCTCTTCTTCACTTCACTTTTACAATTAGATTTCATGCCATCAATCCGGAAATGCAATGAATCAGGATAATATTTTCTATCAAAAATAATAGATTGGCCAATTTCTATTAAATATAATATGGATGATGATTGGGCAATTTGCTATAGAATTATCACAAGCAAGCTATTTTACATGATTTAATATTCATCAGTGCATTTAAAGGGCATTTTTTTCTGTTATAGAGCGAGTTTCGCGGTGGTGCAGTTCTAACTGTTCTGCACGATAAAACTAACACATTGATGGGCGATGCCAGAGCCCAGGAAATATCTTTGTTCCTAACTGAACGAGCTTGCCGACCTTACCTCTGTATTTTAGACCAATGGATACATAATGGCACCATTGTCGATCCTTTTCAGGTAAGTTTTCATTAAATGTATGATTGACAAGGAAAGTTGAATAGTTTCTAGCCATCCTAGGGGTTCATATGTATGTGTAGCAATGGGCAACACACGATGCGTCGTACCTACGTCGCGCAGCCCACAGCCCAATAAGCTTTTGAGATATAAATAATTTAATATGTCACCCGAGTTTTATAAGTAATAAATGAATAGTGTTATATAGTGGATATTTTATATTTCCTGTTTTTTTATATATCGACATGTATTTATCAGGAGTTTATGATAGAAGATAATGAGCTTATCAACAAAGAAGAGCTTCCAGTAGACTACTCGGCGGATTATTGGGAGAAACGATACAGTATTCAAAGAGATAGAGTGCCAAAGTTCCTAGACAAGTTCACTGACATCATACTAAGAACTGGAAAGTATTTGAATGTCATCAGCCAGTGTGGTAAGTTGTAATTTTAAAAACCTTTTTAAATGCCATATTATTTTTGCATATACATAGTATATAAGACTTTGAGGAGTAGTTGCATATATAAGAAAATGATCTCTGGTTTGCTCTGTCATAAATTGGGTTTATTTTCAAAGTAAAAGCATTTATTTCAATTAAACCATAATTTGGTACTTTTGAAACATCAACAAATACAAAATAAATAATAGTCTGTCAGTCTGTCCATCAGTGAAGTTAGGTGCTCATTCCAAAATGTAGATTCGAATGGAGAAGAACGACCAAGAAACTCCATTCGTTACTTTTTATCGATAATTTAACTAAATTTAAACCACCAAACTATGTGCGCTGTAGAAACGAGTTGCTCAATGATATAAACTAAAGTATATAAAAATATTTAATAGGTAAACCAATCACAAAGATGAACACTGAAGAAATAAAATATTCCCTAAGAGAACAGAACTATGGTGCTATAATACAAAAAGCGTATGCGTACGCCAGCAAGTCGTTGTTGGAGCTCCTTCTGAAGGAGTACGATCTCATGGGTAGATTGAAGTCGGTGAAGAATTACTTTTTAATGAGCCAAGGAGACTTCATTGTACAGTTCATGGATGCTACTGAACAAGAATTGTCTAAGAAAATCGATGACATCATACCTTCGAAACTGGAATCCCTTTTGGGATTGTGTTTGAGGTAATATTTAAAAATTTATTACTATCGCGCCATCTATTGACTGTGACGTCATAATATATAAGAATGTGCTACGTTTTTGACGAGTGCAATAGCACTCGATTTAAATTAATATTAAAGTATTCATAGCTTGAACAGCTATGAATACTTTAATGTTAGACCCAGACTTAACAATGATATAAAATGGAGATTAAAAATATTTTTCATTGATTCCCAAATGTTTCACTTATTATAATTTTTTTGTTTGGTATGTTAGACTGTCAGCAGCAAGTCACGACCCGTACAATGAGGATATGAAGATAGAATTGCTTCCTTATGACTTGCAATTCCAAATGTTTAAAATTCTGTCCATTGAGACTGAAGATGAGAAAGGTAAGTTCTTAATCTTTTTTTTAATATTAAAGTTGGATATAGTTTGATAACTGTTACTATAAAATCTAAAAATAGCATATAGGTATGAAGAAAATCACTATCAACTACTTTGAATATTAAAAAAGCGTGGAACTATTTATATTGATTAAACAATTATTTCAGAATACAAACAGAACAAAGACTGTCTACCGCTGACTGGTATAGAGACATTCTCATTTGGCATGGAAGTGAAGTGGCCAGTCTCCTTAGTGCTCAACCATAAAGCTATAGCCTGCTACCAAATGATATTCAGACATTTGTTCTACTGCAAACATGTGGAGAGATTGCTGTGCAGGTCAGTTGTTGATAATGTGTATTTTTATAAAAAATGTATTTTTTTTAAAGACAATAAAACTTGTCTTTAAACTTATTCCTTTCCTAAGTCTATTAAATACCTTGTTGGTCCAGTAGAGTAACTAATGACAAAGTTAAAAATGAATACTAGATTGATGGGTTGGCAATTTTAGCATTTCTCAGAAAGAAAAATAAAGTAAGAAAAAAAAATAACTGCCTCGTTGGCCGAGTGGTCGCAATTGCGACTGCCGGGGAAGGGGTCATGGGTTCGATTCCCAGGTCGGGCTAAGTACCAATGGGTTTTCAAAAAATTCTCAGTGGTAGCGGTGTGTCCAGTGGCATTAAGTACCGTAATGTGCTCCTCTGCCTACCCCTCCAGGGATGAAGGGCGTGATGTTATGTTATGAAAAATGAAGTTTTAAAATCAAGTGTGTTTATAAGTACCTCCTGTCGTATCTTAGTTATTGGAATATTAGTATGATTACTAAATAGTGTACAATAAACTATATTCTACTTTCTTGTTGGTAACTAAAAACAGTAACGACTATTACATAAGTCATATATTAGGCATATAGGCATTTAAACTGTCAAACACCAAGCGGTCACCGGTGACCGCAACCTATTGTTCTATAATTGTGTCTACAAAACCGGTACTCGACGAGTTAATGTGCATATTTGGTATAACACTTGTACCTCTACCTCAGTAGCCAGTATGAGTGTGTGTACAACCGACCTGTGTCTGCAGAGTGTGGCTGTACAACAAGGTGGTGAAGCGTTTCTCAGCGGCTCGCTTGTACGCGGACGCATTCGCCCTCCGCCAGCGCATGCTGAGCTGCATACAGCATCTACAGTACTACATGTGTGTCGAGGTCATCGAGCCGTCCTGGTGCCAACTCATACAGAGCCTTGATAAGGTAACACAGGTTTCCTAATTAATGATAGTTTAGAATCGCTTAGTAGATACAAAGCCTCAGCGAATACAATCATTGGTAAAATGAAGTATAACAAAGATAATGTAACTTGAAATTTATCTGAAATTTCCGAATGGTCTGTTCTTTAACGGACTTTAATAATTTCACAGAAACATGCACGATACTTTTTCAGTACAGAGATCTTATTCAGTCAATTAAAATATTACTAGATAGATTAGATGCTGTTAAAATAAAATGATGATATTAATATTAAAAAAGGTTGAACCTGGACCACCTTACTCCAAGTTTGTTATTATATGTTTGTTCTCAAGGTTCACAATGTCGATGAAGTGCTGGAACGTCACAACGACTTCTTGGAGTCATGTCTCGGGGACTGTATGCTGACCAGTCCGCAACTGTTGAAAGCAGTCACCACACTGTGTCTAGTCTGTGTACAATTCTGTACATTCATTCAGGTACATAAACACATTTTATTTAGAAAAACGTCATAATAAATACCCATATAATCTTTAGAGTTACAGGTAGTTGATTTTGAGCAAATAGTATGCAAGCAAATTAGTGAGATACGAAATTATTTTTTCATCGTGATAGTTTACCGTTTGTCACCCATACAGTGCTTCCACACTACTATTAAACTTTCTTTTTTAAATATTTGTTTTTAATAGTAGTGTGGAACCAGCATTAGAAGGCCAGGCACGAGCTCAAGGTATAGTATACTATATGCGTCGTTCCACTAATTATTTTGCTCTTTCAAGCTATCACAATACAACCAATATAGTCTGTGTATTTTTAATTATTTATTAGTATTATTATATTGTAAATATATTTTATGGACTTTAGACTTAAAAATTTGGTGAAGGTTTTTATTTTATCAATGAATACATAATATTTAATTTTATATTTTCTTCTGCTGCATTATTATAATTATATTTTTATTGGTGTTCGCAAGGCTTTCCAGTGGTTAGTATACCTATATGATTTCTAACATTAATTTATTATTGTATTTTCTTTTAACGCTACCAAATCACGTTAATTGGCAAAAGGAGATGCACAAGTACTTCGTGGACGCAGAGCTTAACAGTATGCTTGGATCGACGTATGACAATTCAGACTATAGTGAGGTATATACCGAGTAGATCAACAGTAACACTAGTGCACTGATGCAAAGTAAATAATATCACAAGTATCATAGAATTTCACCATTTGATTGTGAACTATTCTTTGGCGATATGACGACTTAACTAACGTCAAACTTTCAGCCAATCACAAGCCGCGCTCACTTAAATCCCTTTCTATGATTGGGTAAAACATTTTCATTTGTCTTGCTTCTAAAGGTAAAGGTAATTAATAAGTACTCGAAACTAATGAATTTATCAGACATATCTTGCTTCCATGTAGTATTTGTGATGTATCAAAAACATTATTAACCTATATTATTCTTATCATTCTTTCATGACTTTTCTGTTTTAGACTTTTACAGTGAGTATTTATTGTAATTATATTTATTATAATGGCAATTCTAGAGTTCCCAATACCTATGTATTTATCGATATTATAAGCGATCGATGTTGTAGCATTATTGTTTTCACTTTCCATCTTGCTTAAGTTTACTTGTAAGCCACTACATGTCGGTTTCATAGTATCTAAATAGATACTGTAGACCTGACAAACTGTGTATGTACCTACTCAAAATTGGCTCTTACTATTGTTCATAAGTACATAGTTTACGATGTATGATAGTAACACTGAGATGTGATGATAGGACGCAGGTTGTGGTGGGACGGCAACGAGTGGGTCGGCGGACTCATTCTCTCGCTCCGTGTCACGCTACGGACTGCGGTTCACGGCTGCGCTGCTGTCTGTACTTGCAATCATAGAGAGGATGGCCAGGGACAACAATACCAACAAACTGCTTAATATATCTGCCAGGTATTTATGTTAATCTTTACAGCTTTTTTCGCTAAATGATTTTGAAGAATTTCGCAATTTTATCAATATTTTTTTATTTGTCACAGGCTTAACTTCAACACATACTACGTGAAACAATTGGAAAAGTTCTGCTCGGATGACAAGCTGCTGGAGGCTGAGAAGAAGCAGTCTGCCTCCTAGCATAGGACTGCGCGCCCGCGCACTAATCTCGTCACCTCTGTGTGAACGCACTCTTATAACTACACCTAAAAATCATTCATTCAATAATTATGCCGTCGCTACCATATTCTAATTTGAATCTCTCCGGCCACATCAAAAGTACAATTTTCATAAGGAAAAAAAAAATTTTTAGGCACTCTAATAATACATTGATTTAACTAAAAATATATTAATAATATTGATGATGTTGTTTCTAGTAAATAAATAATAGTCATTTTAGTCACAAAGTTAAAACTAATGTTTGCATGTATTGAAGTTAGATCTAATCCTTCAAAATGAAGTACAAATCTTCCATTTGCATTTTGGGAATGAACAGTATTTAGATAGACTTAATTTGATGTTGTCCAGTGTTTAGATGTTAGTAAAAAGTCGAAAAAATATCAGTGAACAATATTAAAACGTGAATCAGTACTCGTCGGGGTTGAGTGTATTTTTCATATAGACATTAGAAATAAATGGAACATACGTACGAGTACTTTATTTTTTTAATTCGAGATTTATCCACAATGTTAATATCATTCCGACTGGATTGGGTATAACTAACATATTTTTGATATTAAAAGCTCTCTAACACAATAAGGCAATTATTTTTAAATAGAAGAAAGTCACAAGTCTCTCATTCCTTGCCATAAGTGTAAAATTATAGATAGATTCAATAACAAAATAATGTTTAAATTAGTGGTAGAAAATCTTTGTGTAAATTAATCGAAGCATCACAAAATACATGCAACTGTATGTCGTTAAAGTATTTATAAATTTACGTGAAGCGTGAAGGGTGGGGAATAATTACTAAATCTGACAGACTGCAACAGTTTTCATTCCTTCAGTTAAATGTTTTGATATGTACAAAACTACGGACCTAAAGGAAGCAAATAAATAATTATCATTCTGTAAGCCCACAACCACACAAGATATTTTTAGTGACTTATAATTTCATATGAAGTTGGGGAGGTGTCGAGTTGAATCTCATCTCACATCATATCCCAATGGCTATCGGGCTATACGTGAGGCTCATGTAGTTTATAGATGTCTCCATTATCCTAAATCTCATTTACTTCCATGACTATAAAACACGTAATTTTATTTATAGTATGAATTTTACATTAGTTATTGTTATTGGCTGTGTATTTCAAACCCCCTAATTGTTACATTTTTGTAAATAATTCGATCTTTTGCTGTTGAGTAGGAAAATAATTGCCATAATTTACATTATTCCTGGAATCAACTTGTTGGATTACTTTGTATTGAGTTTACTATATTTTGTTAATGTTAACAATACAGATTCATTATATTTGCAATGATAACAAACAGGTTTAAAACGATAACTGAATATTTTAATAACCTGCACTACATACAATTGTAAAATCTCAGTACCTATGTAATATGTAAATACCATCGTTATTATATGCAATAAATACCGATAACTCAACTGTTTTTGTTTTTGTTGGAACCTATAAGCAGCTGCGGAAGTTAAGAATAGATTTTTAAGGAAGATACCTTACTGTGCTATCTATGTAAGCTGTATTACTTGAGTGAAGTCGCACCTGAGAACCTGCTTGTGAGTGTTCAGTTTCAATTCTTAGATACACTATTTTTGCAGGAGAAGGTAATACAAATAAAAGTGCATCTTGACCATGACAATTAATCTATTTTAATATTTAACAGACTTTTAAATACAATCTTATTTATGTAACATTCAATTGGTTTTGTTTGATACATAAAGCAAATCACTTTTGGACTTTAACAATAAATACATCATGTAACATTGGAATACTCACTATGCTAGATCATGATAAAAACAAATAAATTACTTTAGCATGGACATGACACAAAATGACTTGAAAAAGTGAATGAATTTTTATAACACAGCATGCGAAATTAAAAACTAATGAACAAGGAACTATATTTAAAATATACTGTAAAAGCAATTTATTATTACTATTATCATATTGCCCTAAATCAACTTACAATGTAATCAATGATAAAAGCCTTGTATTGGTCACAGACAACTACTTTAAAAATTACCAACCGACCCTGTAAATAGGGATAGACAGAATAATACATCTAAACGATTCATAGTATCTGACTACACACCATTCAATCATTACATTACGAGCAAAACAATTTCATTATAAGGTACAGTAAACTACTAAGGACAGCCAACTTTTACGACAATGTCTGTATAGTAGACATTACAAGTAATATCACTGCATTAATAACTACATGTGAGTACATTTCATAGTTACGCCTACATTATGTGCATATTCATACAATAGTGAAATGGTAACTGAAGTGAACATTTAACATTTGTGCAACATTTAATCATTCTTAGAAGTCATCTCGACGCATCGTCATATAAAATGTATTGGCACAGTTTTGTGTAACCAAAATAAAAAGGTAAATTCATTATGTATCAAGTACCACTTACATCATCATGGAAACGGGTTTCAAGTTCTTTTAAACGAATATAACCATACTGTACCGTTATCTAGCAAATATTTCAAAGTTTATTTAATTGTCCAGTTATCTAAGACATCAACAATGGAACCACACGATCGCCTAAACTCAAGCTAATATAAGCGCCATTAGTTCTAACAAAAACTTAAGTCAAACGAAAAAAAATACCAACTTGTGAATGTTTAAGTGTTTTAAAAACTCAAGCTCAATGTGTACACACAGATAAAGGTTATTATGGCTATAAATTCGAAAAACTTTCGAGAGCATAAATATACACAACAAAGTTCACAATGAGCAGTCTGATACAAGGCACACATATTTGAGCTTGAACTATTAAAACAATCATGCATGATGACACAAATAGAACTTCCTACATGATAAAAAATTATCAATTGACAACAATAAGTACTTTCTACAACAAACATTGCAAAATGACTGAATACTTAATTTATAGTTTCATTGCGGTGCCATTTTAAAAATGTCCCAACTAATAACTAACATGCATTTGCTTCTACATTTCTGCTTTTACTCAGAATTTTTGGTTTGCGACATTATGTCATGAATAAATACATACTTCTAATACATAGCGAAGAGAGCGGCAGAGTTGAATGATAAAAGCAAATGTATGTGAATCGTAAGTAAAAAAGCCTAATGCACATAATTTACCTACTTTAAAAGGAGTATGTACAGAGCTCACTGCTCAAATTCACTAATTCACAGACTAGAGTCTTCGTCATCCGATGACCATCACCACATATGCGTTTCCCGGATCTCACTGATGATTTGACCAGCGCGCTGCAGAGCCTAGAGAAAAAACATCGTTCATTAATCATCAAATCATTACAATCATAATTTGGCTTTCAATTGTGCGATTTTGTTATTTGTAATGTACAAGTACTTAGTACACTTACCTTCAACATGTCAGCGGCCTCCTTCCGTCGCTGGGCAATATGCTCCGATTCATTGAGCATGCTTTCTGCCTGATCAGACTTGTACAGGTGAGTAACAAGCTCAGACTGCAGGTTATCCTTCACATAATTTACTAGGAAATGCATCACAGCTTTTGGCACCGAGTCCTGGATAGACTTGCGCACTATGTAGAAGTAAGATTTGATCAGCCGTTCTGAAAAACCAATCAATAGGAAAATGTTTATTTGTTACCACCTCATGCTGGTTCATGAAAGGAAAAGATAGTCACATACTTATGTGTACATAAGTAACACAAATCCTTAAATAAACCAACTGATGTTTTGTTGTTAGTAATGTGCTTAATAAATCAGTTATAAAATGCAATGCTAATGATTTGTGATAGATGGTTTAATGTTAAAAGAAGATAAGTTTTTAATATTAACCTACATAAAAATAACAACAATGTTCACAACTAGTAATAAATTAATATGGCCACATCAAATTATATTACGTTCTAGTTACTAGACAAATCACAAGCCACAATCAAATAAAAAATATGCCTAATAAGTTCATTTATTAGTTGAATGATTAGGGGTTAGTAAAAAGTTTAGTTAATGACAATTCAAAGTAAACAAGCAGCAAGCAAAATAGTCGATGGTAGGTGGTCGGAAGTTTAACAGTGAGCAATATGAGTAAAGCATTCTGTACACCGCGCCGCTATCCTCACCCACTAAATCACCCATTTGATTCAATTGCATCACGTTGATGCCGTCTACTGTCTCAGAGTTAGGAATTAGGATTGATGGCTCATCGCTCCGCCCACCTAACATCACAAGAAAATACTGTTGAATGGCACAATGTAGTGATACACATACATATATTAATTCTGAAATGATGCTAATGCTCGCCCGATTAATAATTTACTATGAAACGGTTATCAATTTACTACATCGAATGTTAATTGCTTTTAGCTCCAAACCAAACTCAATTACTGGTTAAAAGTGTATAAATCAAGCCTCATCTTCATTCCAATTAGCTCATCAAAAACGTGAATGAATTACATTCCAAACAAACCAAAAACGTTAAAATTACACTTACCAATGACGTCACAATCATGTTGTTCCCTGTCGGACAGCTTGCGCGAGGTTTGGCTCGGCACTTCTGGTAGCAGGTTCACTGGCTTTTGAGGAGTCAGTACTTTATTCTCTGGGGTTCCATTCATCTGAAATTAATATAATATTAGTATTGTATACAGATGACAAAAATCTATAATGAAATGAATAAGAAAATGGACGCAATGAATGATGATGGAACGAATACGAATTATTTTTGGGACGAGCCCTCCATAACCTCGGAAAACCGCTTCTCCCAACTCCTCCACTTGTTTAAGACCTATCAATTTTATGTACTGTAAGGAGTAGGTAGACTAACAAAATCAGTTACATGATCATTGTATTCATTTTATTCACATGCGTTATGTATACCCGCAATAAATGACAATAATTTTGCATTAAACATTTCCAAGCTATTCTACCATTGTAAAACCGTATTTTACCTGTGGAGTTGCAGGAGATTCACTGTTATTACTCTGAGTTGGAGACTTGTTCTCCTGACCATCCGTGATCGCTGGCACATGCTAAAAAGACAATTTCCAACATTTAAAGTGAGCATTCTATCTGTTACTAGACCCCTCAAATATAATATCTAACTAAAATTACTTTCATGCATACAATAACAAAAAGAAAATAATAATTAAGTACAGAAAACGTATGTTTACCCGTTGGCGTCATATAAAATGCTAATTTCTCCAATATAAATATATTAGTGACAATGGACATGACCTCATACCTATTTGGATAAGTTCGTCGTTAGTGAATACAAAATGTTTGCTAATGAATAAAGGTTAGTCAGCAATAGCTAAGCCAAGTTTATATGACAAAAAAACTTATATTTCTTCAAAAAGAAATATAAGTTATACAATAATACTGAAAAGCGGTGTTTAAATAAGTATTTGTCATCTAAACTTACGATTTCAAGAATGTATACATAGTATAAATCATGCGATATGCCTTTTACAACACTGTTAATAGAAATATAAGACGAGTTATGGCATAGTTCGCATGATCGATCTCTGTCTACACTCGAATTGAAAGAGAGCCCACGTAGTATTCCAAGCGTCACCGACATGATGCCGTCACATGGTTTAGTAGGACAATGTGGCTAACATGGGTCTGTAGTTATGTCACTAGCCCTCACTATATGTTGTGAGTTTTATTTTACCTTGTTGTGTGATTCCCATACACTTGCCAAGAATACTAGGGTGGACCCTCTTTCACCCATTTGTCGAAGAAATAGCTACAAAATAATTGGCAATAGTTATTTAATCACAAGAGAAAATTAGAAATGTAAAATACATAACAGTTTAAGGCTACCATCATATCAGCAGTTGCTGCAAAGTCCATCTGATGGTTATTGTTATGGTTACAGGCAGAAAACAACCATCAAGTATTGTATATTGCTCATGTTTACTTTAGTTTTTGAAAGTGAATAAAGATGTTGAAAAATGCCTGCATATTTATTTTATATCATAACAAAAAGGAAGTCAGTTGTTAATCAAATTACGTGCCATAATGTTACTAAGTACTACCTAAAAAATCTGTGCCAGAGGCCTCGCTGGTCTAGCTACACTACATGTGTTAACTTTCTACTCCATACAGTGGGTCATCGTCATAAATGGATGGATCTTAAAACAATGGATGAATTTACATGTTGAATTGGTAATTTCATAAAAGACACACAAACAAAAACCAAGTCATATATATTTTTCCAAAATAATGTTGAGACTAAGTTTGACGGCCACATTTACACTCACCAGACTTGTGCACTATTTACTCACGATGGGCAACCGTAAGGAGTTGGACAGCGACACTACTTACCTCAAGTTAGTGGCATTAGTTCCCACAGGCACGTGACATAATAACTTAAGCTTATATATACTTTGAACATGGCGAATACCGGTGAGGACGCAGGCCGTGGTGTCTTCTGCCGGTAAACGGGGCTGTGCTCGTCCATCAGACTGTCTGTACTCTTCAGCAAACCCGACACCAAGGCAGCTTCGCGGTGAAAGTCAGGGTGCTTAGTGTTGATATATGCCAGTTCAATTTGTACCAAATTCTCCACCTGAAATTGTGAACAGTGATTTAATTCATCAAATCTAAACATTCGATGTGCGTGTTGTGCAAGAAAACTTTAACATAATACAGTTTTTATACAATTAGTTACTAAGTAATTTGTCTATTTTTTTTCGAGATTAGTAACATTTATCACAGTGAATCATTACTTTGTATGTTACAAACTTGCAACTTCATTTTTCATACAAAATAAACTTGTGCAATATTTTGTATATTTGTGGCGTCACCACGATGTCCCGAATATTGATGATAATTTGTGGTTCGTACAATAAACCGCTTTGATATAAACTTGGCACAGTATAAGTCAAGGTTACACGCGGTATGACTCCATAGAAGCGATATGTATTACCTACTATACATCTATATCATAAAACGATTTTCTCGACATTATCTCCGTTTGCTTATCTCAAAAACGTTACTATACTTTGGTATCAAAGAATACCTGTTTTTGTCGGATCTAAGTAGAACTGAGGTGTAAAGATATACTGTTTTGGATCTATAAATAACAGGTTTGAATTTACAGGAATGTAAGTGTCCATACATACCATAGCGTTAGTAGCCGGCAGACGGGTGCGCAGTAGCTGTGTGACGACATCGACGATGCGCTGGTGCAGGCGCGGGAACCGCAACATTTCTTGTTGCACCTCCGTGCCGCAGTGCTGCACTATACGCTGCATCTCTTCATGTACCTATAGTTCACAACAGAACTATTATTATCATAGCAATTTATACGGATTTATTACTAATTTCTTCAGTGTTAGCTGAAAATTATCTAACAAAAACGTAATTCAGATAAAAATTTATAGCCGACAATACTAATAATACTTAGCTGGAACCTGAGACTAACGAGACAAACCATTAATATCAAAAGAATATTTAGGTTGATGAAAATAGAAGAATCATATTTGAGTCCACATTAAGCTAATGCTTGCTGACATTAAATAACAATCAGTTATTATACAGATAAAATAAATACATGGTTTGGTTTAGAACCATGCTTATTGCGGTTATAACAGTTCTGTTAAAACAACCACTCCTACACGACGTAATATGATTGTTTTAAGAACAGATGCTTCAACTTTCTAGTGGTATCTTCATATATAATTATTCATTTAATAGACGTTACATATTACTGACCACGCAATGCAAGTTATTTATGGCCCTCTCCAGCTTAGAAACCAACATTCAACATTACTATAATTAGGTGGGAGTATAATTTTACCAGTTCCACGCAACGAAGCGAAGGATCTTCAAGTCTCCTGATCTGCCGCTTCACAAGCAGTTCAAACGAGACTTCAGGCACAAACAGAGCTGGCCGTGGACCCGTAGCATTGCGGATCGCGGTCAAAATGTCCATGCGCGTCAAACCTGGCATGGAATAGAATTAAAAATAGTAATTCGTCTTAGTTCTCGTCTTTGTTCAAAAAAAGTATTTGTTTTAAAAACAGTGACTCTTATGACAATGACATAAGGTTTCTTTTATTACAATGTCATGGTTGCGGCACATGTCGCCAGTCACGCTGCCGGCCCAGTCAGTAGTAGTATTGATGAATCACATAATAATCAGTTGAAAGACCTGACTGTCATTCACAGATTGTCATGTTTACAATAACACAATTTTATTATAATTACAACAGGACATTAACATTCGATATTGAGTTAAGTGCAAAATAACTTTCTTGAATAGCATGATTCTTCGCTGAACTCGTATGACGTTACTACATTACCGCGAACTCTTAACGTACTTATTGTATGTTGCTTACACGGAAACTTAAAACCACTTACCGACTAGGGGATGTATGGAATCTAAGGTGCGGCCAAACGTCTCGTGAAATATGTAGCATATTCTGGCGCCTCCACAAAGTTCTGTGGTCTCTATATTCCTGGCCGTACCCTCTATGGTAGAGCAATATGCGCTAGCGAACTTTGTTATAATTTGAAGTAGAGTCTGTGACTTATCCGAAACATCTTCTCCATAAGAGTTGAGAAGAGATTGGAACTGTGAGATCATTACATTCACGCGAACCTGTTATGAAAAGTATAGAAATTTTAAGTTTACTATTAACTTCTAAATAAAGGATGTAATTAAATGAGCAGATAGCGATTTGGAGTTATTCTAGAGAACAAACTCATACATACAGAAGTTGGAAAACACCATCAAACAAGATTTTAATATGAAAAAATTTACAATTACCTTTAATTCAGGCAAACAATCCCTAATATGGTGCATCAGTAGTCTGTTCAGGGTCTTTGCCAAGTGTGGCGTGCCATTGCGTGTGGCGATCGTCGGATATTTTCTTTGGAGGTATGTTGCTTCATCTTTGAGAGCATCCTGTTTGAAGAACAAATGATTCTAATTAATACCTAATATGAATTGCACATGTTTTTGTTATATAAATAAAGAATTGCTTCTTTCTTTGGCCAGTCATGCAGTAATTAAATACCTAGATAATAAAAATAACTTTGTCGTGATAGGTATTTTGGATAGACACCTATGAAGTTTTAGATTCCAAATAATAACTAAAAAATATGCTATACATTTTTATGCAACCAGTCTGGTTTTTAAATGACAGGTGCATGTGTTTTAAAGGATAGACCTTTAAAATGGTGAGATGACATACCAATGATGCAGCAATTATTATTGAAATATGTAGATATCATAGATAATTTACCCCTATCGATTTGTTATCAATAATGTCTTGCTGCGATCTGTTTACAACGCCGATAATGCCAAGTTTTACGGGAATGACGCGGCCGCATAGGATGTCTATGGCATCAGTTCCTGAAATAAATAACTATTTTGAGTAACAAGCATTGCATCTAGGAAAACATCAACTAGAAACATTAACTATTTTCATTGCAAGTATATAATGAAATAACATGATTTTGAACATTATTTTTTATCAAACTTATCATGTAATCATATTCTGGAGATAAGTTAAAAATTGATACTAATTTAACTCAAATATTTTAGATAGCTAGTAGGGCATGACATTACTTTTAAAATAGAGATAGAAACTCCTAAATATTTAAACATAAACTTGAACGACTATTTTTATTTTATTCAAGTTACACAAATTAGAATTGTTTCTTTTCTGTTGTGGTACTAAAGTATTGCACAGAATTGGTTACTTTCCTAACCAAAAATAAAGTAGTTATAATAAAAAAAAATTATAATAATAATCACAATATCATTATGTAATTGATTTAATGACCAATTTTATTTTAGTATTTTATGGGCAAATTTTTAAGAAATAAGTATGCTGTTTGTATTTTTAAAATTGTCATGTCACAATACACAATCTCATACAAAATTCATAGAAAATTGTTGTTTTGCACAGTTTGATAATAGTATTGAATTTGACTAGTTGGCAAATACCCAATTTAGGAAAGGAAGTATCAAAATATTAGTATAGTAACCTGCATCCATGAGATCCAGCTTGGTGACAACAGCTAAAGTCCTCCTACCATCTGGATCAACCTCTTTGGACATTTTAATAGCTTCACTGGTTGCCATATCTGTGTTGGCAGCAGTCACAGCCAAAATTATGGAGTTTGGGTTTGAAATGTACTTGATAATAAGATTTCTAATTTGGTTTTCAATATCTTCAGGCTGGTCACCAATTGGCACCTAGTAAACACATTTATTAATATTGTGTTAATGCTATGTATGTTATGTATAGTTATTGGAAATGTTATAAATATTAGGTATGTATTTACCTTGGTGATACCAGGAAGATCAACTAAAGTGAGGTTTACAACTCTGGTTGAGAAAATCTTGAGGCTTATAGGCTCTGGGCAGATGCCCTTGTTGCTGCCGGCCATGCGGTCTGTTTCTCGTTCTATTTCTTGTCGCATTTGATCGAAATCTGTGTATATCTTGTCTTTGGTGTGGAGGAATTTGCCCCATTCTTCTAGGTTTACAGTTCCTGTAACAATTGAGATGAAATTAGCTATTGTTGGAAAGTGATTGACCATAGATTTTGAAATAGTAATTTATTTGTGCAGTTCATAAGAACCAGAACACATGCAAACAACAATGTACCCATCCAATATACAACCCAATAAATATAAATGTTATTTAATACAAACTCACACACACATGCCAATAGTTTATTACTTCTTTTATTGATGTTTAGTATTATGTATTATGATTGCTATTCCAATTTGAATAAAAAAAATCAAATGGACCATTATTTCTATCATACAACACAATATAAATGATAGGGTAGAAAGAGGGATATTAATGTGTAAACTGATATAAATTACTTATTCTTATTACACACAATAACTACTACAAACCTGGATTTAATTTTTGGGAAAGTTGAGCTATTGGGTTCCATGTTGTTTTCTCTGTGTTCTGGATTCTTAATCCTTCCAATACATTTAAATAAAATACAATTTAAACTAAGTAAGCTGCTGAATATTTCAAAGTGAGTTAGTGAGAACTTTTTGACTCCATTGAATTTAAATATATTTCGATACATTTTAAAAGAGAGTTGTTTTATACTCTTCAATCATAATTTCTTTTCTACACTTATATTTAGTACAAAATCTGACAACAATCACTGTATGTAGGAATATAGTATCACATTAATAGATAAGAAGACTAATTAATTGGTACTTATGGAGTTCAATGCCATATCAATGCAGTAGAATAAAACAACTGACATTGAGAGGAACAATATTATTAATTTCATATATATGGTCTATAAAGACCTTATAAACATAACAAAAGCAGGAAGATCAATGCTCAATTGCATGGCATTGAAAAATCTAGTTAATAGAACAAAGACTTGTTATCATTTCTAGATTGATGTAATTCAGACTGAACAAAACAATAGTAGGACCTTGTGATGAAAGTTAATCTAATGTGGTTCTTTGAATAATAAAGAAACATTTATTTTAATTTACTTTATTAATTAGTACCTAATACAACTCATTACAAATTTTATATTCAATAAGAAATTATTATTACTAATAACAATAATTTTCTATTAGGAATCAGATTCTGAAAATAATATCATTGTAGGTTTAAAAACTAGCTTACCTTCTTCAGCCGATCGATGTTCCTTGCTATCCTTAGGACTGTAGACAAGTTGCAGAACCAGGGGCCGCCTGGTCACAATTCCAGGGCCTCGAGGAAGAAACGAACGTCCCACTAAACTCTCTATGACAGAACTCTTACCAGAGCTCTGTTAAAAAAAACAATAAAACGTGTTCAAAACAGTGTCCTATTGGAATTAATTGATTGAAATATTTTTTTTGTTCTTTGGGTCTTCAGTTCTTTCTAAATTAAATGTAAATCAATGTGATGTCATTGATGTTTTTAATGATTACAAATTAGAAACGTGACTATGCGCAAAAGATTTTTAATCCCACCAAATACATGCCAAAGTGAGATTTTTCTATTTTGTGGATTGGGATAACAGAAGTACGGTCTTGGTCAATGACAGCGTAGTTCAATTGAATTTATTGAGGACAAAGAACTCTACTGACACCTTTACATAACCATTACAGATACATCAACAGGAAACTCATGGCATGTATCTGCCATTCTAATCGGAATTCTGTTTTTAAAATAGCTATTTGAAATATTTATAAAATGGTTACCTGAGTTCCTAAAACTACTATCTGAGGTAATTGGATGGCATCGGCTCCGACAGTGTTAAAAACATCTTGCAACTTATTAATAACTGGTATAAGCGCTTCCATAGTTAGATACTGATTCTACAGTACACAATAAATATATTCGACAGGTCTACGACAGTTTTATGTAACACAAAAAGATTATTTTTATCAAATATCAAAACAGACAAACCAACCGGTGAAAGTCGGCCATATTGATTTAACCACCCGCGCCCCGCCACTGGCCGTTGGTTTAATTTAGTGATGTTCCTTACTAATATGACTAATACTTTTAAATATTTAATCGATTTTTTAGAATAGATTCCATATAGATTAATAAAGTTAGAATTTAGTTAACTAGAATATTTGTACTTGGTTAATTCACAGCCCATAATTTATTTTAACAGCTGATTTGATCTACAAAAAATGATTTCTCATACGCAGAGGGCGGATGAGAATGCTAATGGGCATAGCATTAGCATGCTAACCTAACAATCAATTTACATTTACATCGTTAACTATGTCGAGATTCCTCAAATATTTTTACGGCGGGCAACAATTTTCTGCATTTGTCAAAAATAAGGAATATCTATGGTACCTAGTGTTTGTCAAATTGTCAATCAATTGCCATTTGTCAAACTGTCAATGTCTATTGGGCTATGTAAATGGAATAGTGATTTTATTTTCTTGATTGAGTAAATATTTGGAGCTGAAATTGGTTTTGTATTGTTGTTTCTGTAAAATCGTTTGTTGCAAAATAATTGTGCATGTATTTAAATATGTTCAAGGCAGAGGTATGTAACACAATCATTTGTGTAAGTGCAACCTAACAATCAAACTCCCGGCATCTTATAAGATGACTTAAACTTTTGTGTTCTATATTATAGTTGAACGGCGTAGACCCTGGAAGATTTGCGAGTAACTCGCAATCTATAGAATTTGGTCCATGGCACATATCTTACGATGTTAGCTGTATACTGCCGAGTGTGTGTTCTACAAAGGTCGTTTGCGAACGCGAAGACGACCAATTTTGCCAGTTTTGTATGTGAGTGTTGACCATTTGTATTTCTTTTTTACACTATTAAATACGCAATAGCGTAATGATGAGCCTTCGTTCACAAAATACAACAAAAGATGTTGCTAAAACAATATTGTTTTTACAATGGGTAGTCTGGTAACTACAGTTTATTATTCTCGCTTCTGCTACAAACTTCGTATGTGATATATTATTTATTATTTTGGTTGGACAAAAAAATGTATTGTATTAAATTGTCTTACTACAATTACAAGAGATGTGATAAATTCTAGCCAATATTATAGATTTTTTTTTTATTAATTTGTGTTTTTGTTTCCAGATACTGCAAAGAACTGAAGATACCACATTTTCCTGATATGGTGTTTCCTAAAAACATTCTTAAGCTGAACCATAATAGTGGTGCACAGATCTGTTTTAATCCTCTTGATTCTCTGAAGTGTGTTGCAAGCAAGATGGATGCTATTGAAGTGTCATGTGCTGAAGCTTGGCAGGAAGCCCGGTAAATATAATAAAATTATTAAACAACTAACTGCTTAAAGATGTATTTAGTAATTGATTTTACATTTACAAGTTTTAATAATAATTCATTAATATTTCTTCTTGACTTCCTTACTTTCCAATGGTAATAATTATGATTCTGTGAAATGGTAATAACTGGAATAACTTGTGCAATATGTGGTCAGTGTAACTAATACTCATACATTTTTTAAGACCAGATGCAACAAAACCAAAGCGGCCTTTTGATTGGACATTTTCAACTGATTACAAAGGAACACTCACAGATAATATTGTTGTAGAGCCAACCAGTGAAACAATTGATTTTGATTTACTCAAACAAAAGGACCAAATCCTTTTCTACCACGATTTAACTTTATTTGAAGATGAACTTCATGATCATGGAATATCTAAATTGTCTGTGAAAATAGTAAGTAACATTATTTACAATAAGTTTTAAAATGTTGCTTGTTTAGACTCTACAGCTTGTTAATTTTAAAGCAAAATACATAACCCTCCTTCTGACTCAAGTTAAAGTAATATAGAATGTTCATAACATACAATACAAGAATATGTTGTTTCTGAATATTTAAAAAAAAAATGTCAAAAATGTCTAGTTATGAAGTTATAAATAAGTGCTATTTTTAGCATTTCCTAAATCTAAAAATATTATCATGTTTAATATTACAAAACAATTCTTGGTTAAAAATAATTATACTTAAATGTTGATATATCATACTCAAAATTTGTTCATACAAAAGTAGTCTCTAAACATCGGAAATAAGGTCTACAATGGAGTTAGTGTAGAGTGGTCACCGGAAACTGCTTGGGGTTTGAACAGTTAATTAAAACAACATTATTAATAGCATTATGATGTGTGCTTTCAGAGAGTAATGCCGACATACTGGTACGTCCTGCTGAGATACTTCCTGAGAGTAGATGATGTGCTGGTAAGGTCCAATGAAACCAGAATGTTCCATTTACTCAACTCTGACTATGTCCTCAGAGAATACACAGTGAAAGAGGCACAAGCTAAAGATTTAAATGTAAGTAGCATGTTTATAAACACGACATCATTTTAATCCCAGAAGTGGTAGGCAGATCACATTTATAATGTAACACTCACTTTTCAACAGTTATGTTGCGAGTCCCATGTAATAGGGATTGAGTTATTGTCATACCAGATGTGTAAGCTCCATGTTATTACTAGGAAATGTTGAAAACCTGCAAACATTTTTCTTTGCCCGCCAATCAAACTCAGTCGCGCCCTCTGCCACTCGACCAATCCGACTACCAATTTAACTGCAGTCATAGTCAAATAATAAAGGAGTTATTCTAGTATTGACTTCATTGCAAATAGGTAATATTATACAAAAATAAATATCATATTGCAGTGCCTCTCATATAATCCAAATTTCTATTATTGCACTGGGTTAGTTATTATATTTTGCAATATTCTGTTCCAGATGCCTACAGCTCACATGAAAGAAGCAGATGACGTGATACCAATACTGCCAGTTAAAGAAAAAATTACACACAAATTAATTGTGAATATACCTTCTAAATAGAGTGCTTTGATCTCCAATAATTATATTACTAAATAAAATAAGCTAAGCAATTGAATAACGAGTTAGTTATTACGGGGTTGTAACTAAATCAATTTATGAGCATATAAGGAACAATGTAATGGTTATAATTGTGAAAAGCTTGTAGTACCTACTAAAAGGAAAAATTGCAATTTACAAATTATACTATGATTATGTTATATTATGATATAATTCGTATTTGAATATTAAGTTTCTTACAATGAAACCTTCCACTATTAGTTAATTAAAGAGGTAATGCATTGTAAGTTCTCACGCCAGAGGGCACCACTAGTGAATAAAAAAAATACAAGAAACCTGAACAATTATAATTTATAGTTAATGCCGATTAAATACGATGTTGTGTTTCCAGAAGTCGTATTTAAAACGTTATATTATTAGATAGATTCTGCCAAACTGTTTAATCTTGAATCTTGGGTGATGCCCTCTGCTCAAGAGTTTGCAAGTTTATTTATGGATTAGGAGGCAAACGATCAGAAAGATCACCTGATGGTAAGCGATGGACACCCGCAACACCAGAGGATATTATTCCTTGTTGTCTATTAAAGTCGTCACAAAAGAATACGAATGAAAAGGCACTTGTACTGATAGAGAATAAAAGTATTAACTGTGTGTATTCATAATACAACGGTGCTCTTTTATAACTGCAGAAGCAAAAATAAAGGTATTAAAAAACCAATGTGCTTTTTTGCCTTTTGAAGAACACTGTCGATGACAACCCGCGCTGTCACCCGCTTGTGATAGGAAATAAGAGTCTATAGCACTCTCCAGACTCCTACACTACACTTTACTATCTCCATTGTCAAGATACAAGTCGTACAATTATAAAAACGTTTGTTTTAACGTGAAAGGAAACGGTACAATTTGCATTTATAATATTAAAATATATAAGATAAATTCTGACTGCGTTTCTAACCTCGCAACTAGAACAAAGGAAGTATACAGGGTGACTTTTAACTCGACGTATTCCTCTCGGGAGGTGATAATACAATTAATTTCATACAAAATTAGCCCTGAGGTTCCTGGTGCGAAAGTGACTAGTTTTCGAGATATTCAACAATTTGGTTTTGGTCTAAAATTCCGAACTAATTACAAAAAAATATCAATAATAAATATAAAATGGTTTTTATTTAAGTGGGTTTATTTTTAAGTTTGAAGGAATAAGACGAACTTTCACTTTAAAAGTAACCGTTACAGAGGTAAGGAAGCGTGTGCTTCATGTATATTGAAGGGAAGATACATAGGGAAGATTACTTTGAACAAAATTTTGTAATAAATAACAATGTTCTTCAAATTTCCCGTTTTCCTTTACACTTTACTATTATCAAGTTATTAATTTATTATTGAGAATTTTATGAATAATTAAATGTTTTTGGGTAGGTAGCTAATAAACCTAGGAAGTTTTTCAAGTAGTTTGTACCTATGCTTTTTTTTTAATGGGGGAAAATCATCGTATGACTGTTCCCGTCTGGGTGAGACGGAAGGGAGTGTCAGACTCTTACTGACTAAAAACCACCCCGTTCCTTCTCCTGCACGTCGAGCCGGAGCCCCGGTTACCCGTTAGGTTATTTGTATGCTTAGTGTAATATCAATATTTTATACTAAATGCAGTTTTCAATTGACCAAATTAGTGACACAAAACAAAATTTGATAATAATTTACTTACTATTTTAAAACGAATGACATATCTGCAGTATAACTATATGGACTTTTTGGGACATGGACGGTCAGGAATTTGGACATTTTGGAATATGTACATTCTGGGATATGGACTTTTTGCACCTTCTGGACATTATGAGATTTGGACATTATGTATGTACCTAAACGCTTAAATCAAACCAGTAGTTTTTTATTTGTTGGTGTTTTTGTAATCAGTTCGGGATTTTTTGTCAAAAAACCAAACATGTTGAATATCTCATAAACTAGCCACTTTCGGATTAATGACCTCAGGGCTAATTTTGTAGAAAATTAGTTGTATTGTCATCCCCCGAGAGGAGTACGTCGAGTTACAAGTCAGTAATTCAACCTGTATACTACCTTGATATACCTATGTTAACTTTATCAGTTTGATAAAATTTTGGCTTCCTGTACTTTAGAACTGAAATCATGTTCTTGTATTAAAATCCTAAATGCTTTAGATGGATTTTTAATATTGTTAAGTAGACGTATAAAGTAGGCTCCACGAATGTGGGTGCGGAATTTACTTACCTAATAAAATCGTGAAAGTACATTATTTAGTACCTCTCCTTGTTTGTTTTTTGTTATAAGCTCTCAAACCTCTGTAGCAAATAATACCTTTTCAACCGACTTCAAAAAAAGGAGGAGGTTCTCAATTCGACTGTATTTTTTTATGTTTGTTACTTGATTACGCCTGGACCGATTTCAAAAATTTCATTTGGTCCCATTGTCATGAAGCCAGGATCTGATGATGAATCCCAGGGTAACCGAGGGGACTTTAAAAAAATATAGGGGCGACTAGTGCATTTGTTATATTTTTCGTTAAGTATTTAAAACTACTACAATCTGATAAAGGTCTGGAGTTGATCTGATGATGGAGCCGATAGGCAGTCGAGGGAACTCCTCAGCGGTTACCAGTAGCTATCTTGTGTTTGGGTTTGATTAATTTGTATTGATGAGGACGAGATCTTTATACCTAAGTATTATGTGATTGCCAATGGGTCTGATGATGAAGTAGTACCATAGTTGAGGGAACTCCTCAACTGTTAACAGTCGCTATCTTGTGTTTGGGTTTGATTAATTTGTATTGATGAGGACTTTACACCTAGGTGTGGTGTGGTTGTCATTAAATGTCGAATGATGCAGTAGTATAATAGCTAAGAGAACAATGGTTAACAGTAGTTACCTGGTGTTTGAGGTTGAATAATATGTATTGATGAAAGCTTTGCACCGATGTGGGTTGTACATACCTTAATATAATATATTCTAGTACTGAACTAAAAAGTATAAAATTTAAATAAAAAACTGAAGTCCGAATTGTAAACGCAGTTTTTTATATTGATGGGTAGATAAAATCAAAAGTAAAAAACGGTGGATCGACCTGAATGTGTTTCAGGTCCAGACGATTTTTTTACGACTTGACTACGCTTGATTACGACGACAAGATACACATTTTTATATCTTTGAAAACAATATGCGTCATCAATTAATTATGTGTTCCATACGTAATTATATTTTGTAATACTTTACTCGTGCCCAAGTTATCGGTTCGGCACAGGTAAGTGCCTCACCTACCTGCTGATATGATATAGGTAGGTACCTCTTTCACATGTATCTATACGTAGGTAGTAGTTATTCTTCTTAGTAGTGGCTAATGGTACCAATATCCTATAATGCAATATTCCATATGATTGAAATGATTGACAACTAACGTACCTACTGACTAATAAAATAATGATTATTGTAGTATGGCGGGACACTTGGTTTTTTGCTGCAAGGGCTGCAACGGTGGTGTCCATAGATTTTTGTGTATTGCCTTTTTTCATCCACGTAACATCCAACCCTAAAATATTTTTTTTTAACATACAGACGGTTATTGTTCAATGCTGGAATCGAATTTGCGATATTAAGTAGCTTTCATTTACCCAACCGGTGCGCTGCTGCCGTGAGTAAGTAGGTAGCTACTTGCTTAGCTTAATTATATTATGACTGTTGCTTATGAATTCCTGTAGTGGTAGAGATCTATCTATAGTCTATGTATAGGTGCTAATTGGGCGGATTATCAGTTTGATTTATTGTTTAATTGGTAATTACGGGCACGGCTGTCATTCAACTGAAAGTTTTTATCGTAGGTACCTAAAAGTAATCACAATCGCAACGGAATATTATAATCGATAACATTAACAGATAGAGTTTTACTTTATCCCCACTGCTCTAGGTACCGTTGCAGTTTTTGATCATTGCTAGGAGAGTCCCAAATGAGAGTAGCCATATTGTTATAATCGGAAAGTGTTTTTTAAATTAAATTTTCCGTTGCAATGCGGCAATATATTACATTGTGGGCCACTATAGGTTCGTAAATTCAACAATACTAATATTTTTTACTAATTAATAACAGTGTAATAATATTGTTTGTGTAAAATTTTTCAGTGTTATTCTATGTTGAAAATGGACATACTCAGATATTGACGTATGATGTTCGATTGAATAATCTTCTTCATATGCAGCAAGGCATTGGATGGCCGTTGCATTTGTATGTGGCCGAAGGACACGACGCTTTGATTCGTCTTTCTGAGAAACTAGAGAACCAGCAAAGCTGTGAAATTACGACGCCTTCAGGAATAACGTTTAGTAACCGCAACCCACCGAACAATAGGTACATGTCGTTTAGATAATTTTTTATAATAAATTGTGAACAGTGTTATAGGCACTTGCGTTGGTATAGAATTAAGGCATTAGATTATTTTATTTATTTACATAATTACATATTATCTAGTGTTTACTCACCCAAACTTTGCCTAAGCGAAAATTAAAAAAGACGTTTTAATTTTATTGAAAATCTTTATACTTATGCGATTAATTTTAGTGTTTGTTAGTGTTCCTTATTGAACCTACTTACGCGAATGGAAATGGACTATGCACAGAAATATTCTTTATTAGGGCTATCTATGGGACAACGCGATCAATTTATAGATTATGTAGGTCTCATAATTTCCTCTTGATCCTAGAACTTGCACCTATCTCTAGTAGTCATTTTACTTTGTTATTAAACAGGCAACAAATACGAGTCGGTACCTAAGTACTAGGTAGGTATAGGCACCTAGATATGGTTCTATTAGGTGCTCTTGATATCTACAGAGAGAAGGTTCCAGAATCTTATAAAATAATGCCTATTTAAGTACCGCCCAACCTACCTAGCCTATATAGTTGTTATATTGTCAATATTACGTATATATATATATATTTTAACTGCACGGTTGGCGCGATGGCTGCATGGGCAACTGGCTGCGAGCAGCGGGTTCGATACCCGCACTGAGCAAGTCTTTGTGTGTTCCACAATTAGTGGTTGTTTTGAGTCTGGGTGTTGTGTATGTGAAATTGTATGTTTGTAAACGCACTCACGACATAAGAGATAATATTAGTGTCGAGCAATGATTTTTAAAACAAAATAAAATAAATAAATATACTGGTGACTTGATGCGTACATTGTTTGATGTAGATAATATTTCTTTTTTATTTTAACTGTGCTAAGGTTTTCTGCATGGAGTGATGGCTGCGGTGTGAGAATCCACAATATTTTGCTCAGGGACTCGGGACGATGGCGTATGACAGCTACCGGTGGAAACCACTCCATCGTCGGTTGGTCTGAGATCCATGTGGCAGGTACCTACATTACATTACATACATTTTTTTTTATTAAATTTAGTATGTCTCACGATAGTTATTATTAAAATAAAATCAACTGTAAATATACTTATTACAATATTTATGTTACTCTGTAAGGTATCTATGGGCCATACCTACATATATAGTTATGTGAAAATAAAGTTTACCTAAATAAAAAATATACTTTAATGTTATATTTAACTATCCTGATTAAATTAATTGCTTAGGATTATCAAAGTTCATATCTATTGGACTTTGATGTTCCTAAGCAATTAATTGTGCTATTAATGTATCTAACATCGTTTTGATGATATTGCCATATGATAGTGCTCTAAG